GAGATTTCAAGTTGTAAAATGCTTTTTTGAACATCTCGATACGATCATTTTTGACGAAGTTACACTCTCTTGAATTTTGCCTATTTTTGAAGGGTAGAGTAAGTGATGCTTTAATTTTGTTGAGAAGTGAATAATATAAAGATTTATGAATATTTATTTTATTTTCGTTATTGTTACTTTTTCCTTATTTGTTTCCGTTATTTAGTGTAAAACCTATGTACAAAATATCCTGCATCTTTTTAAAATATCTTTTTAAATTTCTTGGCAAAATTTTTAGTGTTCTATGCGATACGGATACAATTGCAAGTGTTTTAATATTTTGTATATTACAAATTTTTCCTATTTAAAAAAAAGACAACTTAATAAACTATTTATCTTGTTTTTATATTCGTATAATAGTGTATGCTGTATGTTTATAATCAAATCATATCTTTGTAAATATTAGTCAAGGACTAGCACAAGTGAATGAGGAACGCGCGCCAACCCTGAGCACCACATAGACAAGAGCGATTATTCGTTAACTTTAACTTCTCACTTTAAGCTCTCCTGCAAAAATTATTTGTCGGATCAAAATTTGCTAAAAGAAAAAGTTGTTTCTTTTAGCACAAAGTATCATATCCTGTACTCCTTATGCGCAAATTTTGAAACACCCTGTATATACAATGGCGGACAAAAGAAAGTTTAAGTTAAAATCAGTACCCGTGTACATGGGTATATTGGTAAAAATAAAAAAACGTCTATTATTTGTTAAACAGTAAAATCTTGGCTTTTCCGTTTCTTTTTATTCGTCATCTCAAATTTAGATTCGTCAGATCTTCGCGACGATTCTGAAAGCGCGAATTTTTAATAACTTAATTAGTTATTTTTAATCGCTTTTGTCATTTGAAAACTATTTTTTTTTAATGATGCATTTAATTACAGATTTATATAAGAAGACATACATACTAATCAAGTAATAAAAACACTTAAAACATCAAGAGAAGAACCAGAAGAGTTATTTGAAGAGCATGAAGTAAAAAGGGGAGACTGACATACATGGAGAGGTCAGTTTTAAATAATTAAGTATTATTATAATTATCCTTTTTAATAATAATAATAATAATAAATTAAAATATTAAGTATTCTGTAGCATTTTTTAATTTTTACAGTTCTAAATCAAAGTAAAGAAAACGGAAAAAGTGCTAGATCAAATAATTTCTTGAAAAATCAGAAATGGTGGATTACTCGATAAATACGAGAATCAATTGAAACAACATGTAAACGAAGTCCTTGAAAAACTAATGAATGAAATAAGAGAAAAACTAATGGATGAAATAACAAAAAATGTAATGGATGAAATAAGAGAAAGAATTTTACATGGAAAGTAGTTAGTTTTAAATAAGTATTAAAATTATTAACTTTATAAATTAAAATTATATAACTTTATTTATAAGTATTATTATAATTATTATTTTTAAAGTTAAAATAATAATATACATTAAAATATTAAGTATTCTGTAGCATTTTAATTTTTTATTACAGTTACTAATCCAATTGAAGATGAGAGTAAAGAAAACGGAAGAAGTGCTAGATCAAATAATTTCTTGAAAATGCCAGAAATACGTAGATTAATCGATGAATACAGCAATCAACTTGAACAATATATTTTCTAAACGAATTCCTTAAAAAACTAACGGATGAAATGGAAGAAATAATTTTACATGTGCTGAGGTCAGTTTCAAATAAATCTTATTATAATTATTATTATTTTTTAATTAAAATAATAATATATATTAAAATATAAGTATTATATAAGTATTCTGTAGCATTTTTTATTTTTTT